TGCTGCTCAAGAAACATTTCTGATTATTATCAATGTTGAAAACAGTTGTGCTGCTGAATATTTTTGTGGAAACTGTCACACATTTTATTTTTTTAGGATTTTTTAATGAAGAGAAAGTTCAAAAGAACCACATTTATTTGAAATAGAAATATGTTGTTGCATTATAAATGTGTTTACTGTGACTTTTGACTCATTTAATTTACCTTGCTTAATAAAAGTATTCATTTCTTAAAAAAAACCAAAAAACATACTGACCCCAAACTTAAAAAAAAAAAAAAAAAAAAGAGTATTTAAACTTCTGATTGGAAATGATAGAGCTATAATAAAAACTGTTCAGGTCAACTGCTAACAGGTCAACTATATGACCGAAATCTCACTGCATTAATTAAAGGTGCCATAGAATGCATTGATACAATATTTTAAATTGTTCTCTGATATCTACATAGAAGGTACGTGGCTTAGGTAAGGGCAAAAAATCTCCAGAAATGGTTTTACGTGTCCATTTACAACCCTATGATTTGTCCCTAGAATGAAATGGTCTGTTTTTACCTTATTTGGAAGGGTCATGAATAATAATGTTGAGCTCTGCTCTGATTGGCTGTTTCACAGTGCGGCTCATTTCAGTAGCTCACACAACATATGGGAAATACAGGGAAAATATATATTTCAATACTTTCTCTCGCAGTTATATCGTTGGGTAATTATATAAAATGCGGGCATCAGGGAGCCGCTATTAATATGCGGGGCATTGAAACTGCTTTCGAATGCACGATGGCTTTTTACTTTCACTTTCAAGATTTGCAATCGCACGTGCTCTGTAAACTACAGCGGCAGTACTTACCACACATTTTACAAGATCAGATGCTTGTCAGTGGGAGTATTTAAACTTCTGATTACACAAAATGTCATTATGTGCTAGCCTAGTAATGCTAAGAACACTGTAGCAGTCAACATCAACTGCAGGATATTAAGTGCGACTAAGTGTCCAGCAATGTACATTTCTAATATATATTCATCCCAGGCAGCAAAATAACAAAGTAATTCCCATATTAAACCAACCCAATGAAACACAACAAATAAAAGCACTGTTTGAAGCAGTTATTTTCTGTTGTACAAGTGCAACTGCTTTTATTCCAATCAAACTGAAGTCAGACTGAATGAATGCTGTACCTGCAGACACCACCGTCTCTATTCCTGTGCCGTTGATGAAGGCCCTCTTGATGGTCTGAGTCCGAACATCAGACCAATAGATGCGCTTCTCCAGAGCGTCGTAATCCACAACCGTGACGTTGTCGATGTCAGGGACGGTGAAGGAGATGATGTAGTTGTAGTATGGATTATAGATGTCCACTCCTCTTATCTCAATCTGACGGGCGTACAGCAGGAACTGACGCGACTCTGGAAGAGAGACAGAGACACCCGTCATGACTGGGGTCAACAAGGAGAGAAATCAAAACTGGTCATAAGGTCACTGTGAAAAAAGATTCCCCCGTGGTAATGAACATCAGCAGGCTATGAAGATCCACATGGGAATGTCAAACTGAAACATAAATCTATTAATTATAAGAAAGGCTGATACATCTGTGTGTCTAGAATCTTTAAAGCACGCTGCATATATATATATATATCATGTTTGAAAGTGCAGGCTTTTTGAAGCAAAGATCTATGAGACATTTGATCCAATGCATATTGTAACGATCCCGGGGTTGTGTCTGTTGTTTTGTAAGGACTTTTATGTTGAAATGTATTGTCAGTTTCCATTATATCTGTTCTTCCTTCCTGTGTTTGGTTTCTGTTTCTTTGGATTACCTAGTTAGTTTCTATGGTTCCCATCATTAGCCACACCTGTAGTTAATTATCCCTGATTTCTCTGAGGATTTGCTGTAAGCTCTTGTGTTTCAGTCATGGTTTGTGAGTCGTCGATGTTTTTTGGTGTTCTTGTTTTTGGTCAGGGTTGCCTGGAGGTTCTTGTTTTGCTCTTCGTGGTTGTGTTCATGTGGCCTATATCACAGTTTGATTATCATTATTCAGCATTATTTTAATGTTATTTATATACTACTATAATAGTTTTTTTATATATTCATTTAATATTTTGAAATAGCTTTTATTTCTATAATTTCAGTTTTCATTTTGATATAATTAATTCTAGCTTGTTTTTTCGTACTTTTGTTATGTGTTTTTTTTTTTTATAATTTTATTATAGCTTCTATTTATTTTATTTCAGATTCTGTTTTACTCATTTATATATTAGTACTTTAAACATTTTATTTTTGTTTTAGTTTTTCTATTTTAAATTTTTGTGTAAGTTTCAGTTTTTAAGGCTTTTCTTCTTCTTCTTCCATTCTGGAAGTCTATGGCAGCCCATAGAACCACTTGTTGCACTCATATTTCTGCTACTAAGTTTTGAACTGTAAGGTCTAGACGCAAAATTATTATTTTTTTTTTCTCTTAATCCATTGGCTCATGCCAAGTCGAATGCACAACAAAATTAACATTTCTACAGGTTAACATTTTTTGTCATTTTGAATTTTTTTCCTTATTTTTTTCGAACTAGTTCTAGACAGTTTTTTTCACCAAAAATTGGCTCAGATCATCTTCAGACAATGCTGGCAAAAAGTTATCAAAAGATTTCCATTAGACCAAACTGTTCTCGTAAATGTCCACTCCTCTTATCTCAATCTGACGGGCGTACAGCAGGAACTGACGCGACTCTGGAAGAGAGACAGAGACACCCGTCATGACTGGGGTCAACAAGGAGAGAAATCAAAACTGGTCATAAGGTCACTGTGAAAAAAGATTCCCCCGTGGTAATGAACATCAGCAGGCTATGAAGATCCACATGGGAATGTCAAACTGAAACATAAATCTATTAATTATAAGAAAGGCTGATACATCTGTGTGTCTAGAATCTTTAAAGCACGCTGCACTGTAAGAAAAACAAAAAATGTCCTGGGTGAAAATTACATTACATTTTGTGTTAATAGAAATTTCCTCCAACCCTAAACACAACAAAATGCAAATTGCATATTTCACAGTACATTATACCATGTTAATATAATATACACCCATATACACCCTATTTTTACAGAATTTCTTAGGATGTGGTTGCAGTTTTAATACGGAGCAGCAGAGATAAATGGCCTTTCTTCAAAGAGTTCAAACAGAGAGTTTTTATATTATCTATTATTTCCATTAGACCAAACTGTTCTCGTAAAGTGTTTTAACGAATATAACAACATTCATGCAAAAATGAACATGATGCTATATCCCCACAATGCTTTAGCAGATTTTGACCAAACTTGATATTTGTTATAACAAGCATGACCTGAGGGCACAAGAGTAATTTCGGCACACAGCACCACCTACTGGTCAAAAGATGTAAAAAATGGACATTTCTGCTTATAACTTCTGAACAGACCAAAAATCATAAGATTAGGAACGCCAGCAGCAGGGTTGGAGAATTAAAGAGTTTCTTAGCTCTTAATTTTACCTCTGTTTTGCTTGACCCCTTAATTGCTGCTTGCATCTATATTTATATTTTATTTCATTATTTCAATTAACAAAAACATATTTTTAATAGTTTTAGTTTGAATTAACATTATCACTGCTAGTTTTAATTCATGCAGGACTCTATCAAAAAAAAAAACCATTTTTTAAAAAACAAGATGTAAAACTGCATACAACACAGATTCCGTCAAGTTGCGAATAAATCAGAAGACGAGCTCTAGTTCATACCGTAGCAGGTGTGGTTGTCCTCACTCAGTCTCATGAGGTGTGGGCAGGCACAGGAGAACGTCTGATGGTAGTTGATCAAGCACAGGTGAGAACATGGGCCCAAACCACCGTTAGCAGCACACGGGTTCGGCGCTGGAGAGAGATGAGCGGTGGTGAAGTATTGAGCTTTATTGTGTCATTACCACCTTCAAATTTATTTGCGCCACCAAGAAACCAAACCAGCTGAGACAGGAACCAATGATAGACTAATGCAGATTAATTGCCACGACGTTTGGCTATTTTGAGGTTATCGGCATTTGCGCTTATTTGAATGATTCATGATCTCTATCTATGCTGTTTGATAAGGGTAGGAAGTATGATGAAAAAGTAAGTAAGAATAAGAAATCCAAAGGTTATGGGTTCAAAGCAGATAGTGGAACTTTTGAAAGCATGTCCAAACCAATTCATCCCGTGTGTCTGCTCCTGTCAGACATGAATAAACAAATGTCTGCCTCTATAAGATGAAGACGCTGAGCTAAACTATCATGACAAGTTTATTCACATGCTGCTTTATTAAGCGCCAAACACTATCAACACATGTGTCCATCAAGCAGACAGGCTCCTCCCTTAATTTGACCTGTGATCTTTCACAAAATTAAAGTTTACTCAACAATTAATAAAACGATAAAACTTGAAATGAAATGAAAACAAAAAATTAAATGATCTATGATGTCCAGACAACAAGGCTGTAGCTCAAAGTGACACTTTATATTGAACACTGTGGTGTCTGGAATCAATTTAGGGGTGTTTAGAATGAAAACTGATCAAATGAATCACTAGAAAACGTCTTCAGCGTTACATGTATACTTCATGAATAAGGATCCCAGAATGCATTGCGATGAGCTCAAAAGTAATTCATGAAAAATGCACAAATTTTCAAAATATGTGTGTTCAATGTATCTTTTGCAGTTAAGATGACTGCTGTTAGCTTAGGAACATGCTAACATCCCAAGAGCTAACTTCACAAACCAGTTAAGCTCAAACCCGACCCCACAGCCGAATTCATGGCATCAACAATAGATTAGACTTCATGCATTCAAAAATCACAGACGCATCTGATGACAACAAACAGTACTGCTATCTATCAATATGTGCTACCAATGCTATACTAAGGTTAAGGATAGGATAGGGTGACCATACGTGCCATTTTCCCAGGACGCGTCCTGGCCAGGATTTGTTTTGGCTTTGTTTTCCTGTTTTCATGCTTACTGAAGGTAATGATCGAAAAGTAGTTTGACCAATAACATGCAAGCATTGTACATAATGGACCAATCATGGCGTGTGAGAAGGTGGGATCTATGGTCAAAGCGATGCAACGCGTACATATTAGGTGTGTTCGACAGTGTGGCTCAGACCGATCAGTGTTTGACATCAAAGTACCTCGAGAGCGTTTCGAAAACATATCCATCTGTATGGTACTTTGATGTCATACACCGATCGGTCTGCACACGCAAACAAAGCCAAAACCTAGATATTTTAGGCAATATAGAAATCCTGGCCAGGACGCGTCCTGGAAAAATGGCACGTATGGTCACCCTAGGATAGGAGTTAGTATTTGTTTCAGTTTTATGTAGACATTCAGCACTGTTATTGACATGAACAACGAGGTTTGCATTTAACTGGTTTGGGGGAAAATCATGGTTTTGGAATCCATTAGAATCAAGCATTTTGAATCAGTTACTCTTTACGAAAAGATCCTGTGGTGGTACTGTACATTGACGGTATTAGATGGTATTAACTTCGATATATACCACTGTTTTCTTTGCCGTGTGAAATAGCCATTAGTAACATTGCTATCAAAGTAACTTTGAAATAAAGTTTGAAGATCACCTTGCGGTTGTCTAGATGGGTGGTACACCTGCAGATCGAAAGGTTGCGTGTTTGTTCTCTGAACCACAGTGACATTGTTTCCTGTCCATTTGTTGGCCTTGGCCAGTGTGTTTGTGCGCCAGTCTGTCCAGTAAACCTCTCCACCATACATCGTCACAGCGAACGGATGCGAGAGATACTCATGTCCTCTGAGCACCTCGATCAGTCCCGACCCGTCATACTTGGCTGAATAGATTGCATCAGATCTGAGACACAAGACATAAATAATTCATTTCTATGGTCATTCATTTCTGACAGGAAGCACACTCTCTGATATTAGGTAGATTTTAGCTACCAAATTTACAAAACTTTAAATTCCAATCCTGCTCCTGAAGTGTCTATTTCCAGCAGAGTTCCAGCATGCCTGAACCAACTATTCAAGGTCGTCAGGATCACTAGAAACTTCCAGGAAGGTGTACTGGAGCTGGAACCAGGAGTGGGACTGAACATCATTGGGTCAGGGAACTGTTTGGTTTGTTCTAGGACCAACTTCCATTGATCCAGGAGCTTGTCCGTACACCACATTGGCCTTGTACAAACTGTAAGGTTTTAGGAGCGACAACCACATTTAAATACGGGAGTGACACCCCTAAATTACAGTTTCGTTTGTATACAGAATAGAACTCACTTTCGAAATTGCGATGATTGACACCATTGTGATCTTAGCAACGTTTTGCCATCTCACGCATATGGAATACGCTATTTTTGACCAAAGTAATATTACAGCAACCAAAGACTCATCATGTTTGGTGATTTTAATGAAACCACTTTCGACAGAGCTGTCATTATTTGTTTATGTTTGGAAGGCTACTTTTCAGAGCGCGCTCTTTAAGTATTGCCTTGTCCACTTACTACAAACATTGTATATTAAAGATGCTGTATGTAGGATTGACACCGAGTGGCTGAACTAGGTATTGCAGTCCAAATTCAAAATATTGGAGAGGGTTTTTTTCACCTGGTACCTCCTCCTCAGACTTGACGCACACGCAGGTTGCCAGATTGACGACACCAACAGGAACGAGCGCACTTGAGGATGAATTGAATGAAATACGCTGTGTTTTCTGCCAACTGGCAACCCGGTGTGACGAAATACAATTGGGTACATATATCGGAGAGGGTTTTTTTCACCCGGCCCCTCCTCCCCAGACTTGACGCACACGCAGGTTGCCAGATTGACGACACCAACAGGAACGAGTGCACATGACGATGAATGAAATGAAATACGCTGTGTTTTCCGCCAACTGGTAACCCGGGGTGCCGAAATACAATTGGGTAAACTGGCAGTGGGCGGGTTACACAGACCAAAACAAAAACAGACATTCCGTCCCGGAACGCATATTTTCAAAGGAGAATAACTGACTGTAGCATTGTTTTTCAGATAAACAAGTATGCTAACTTAGCATGTTTCTTAAATATCTGCAAACATATTATGATATTTGTATGCTTTAGTAGAGTCAAAAACTTACATACAGCACCTTTAAGTGTCTTTGGACTCCAGCAATCCAGTTTATGGAGTTAATAAAGTAGGCAGGTGCAAGTTGTGATATTCTGGTATGTGTCTTATTTCCAAGATACTGTGTTCGGATTTAAGTTGACTATAGCCTTGTTTTTATTTGCTGTTTTCTTATAACAAGATCTGTCAACACAGAGTCAACATGTACCTACATAGAATTTCTGCAAATGCGGCTGTCATTACCTGCATTTTTCAGGAGTCAATTCAGTTGTAGAATGCGGTAAATTACTGCCGCAAATTACTGAATTGCAGGTGTACAGAACAGGATTAAGTGCTAAAAGGTTAATTAACAGCCAAATTAGCTGCAGTTTGTATGTTTATGAGTCTTCAAATGTTACCTGGCATCTATCCACAGAATGCGGCGCTCCAGATAGTCCACAGTCAGTCCATTCGGCCATCCTCCACTGCCCGTCTCCTTATGGATGGTGCGTCTGCCATGTCCACTCATGGATGCAGCCTCTATCCTGGGCATTGTGGCATCCCAGTCTGTCCAGAATAGGATTCTACAGAATCAAAGGACAGATGAGGGCTTTTTTAATGCTGCTGTCAAAAGTGTTCTGGTCCCAGCATTCTTTATAGAGCTTGTATTCTTTTGTTGTTTGGAAAAGGGCAGAATCAACATTCTTTAGAATGTGTTCTGTATTTGGAACAACATATGGATGAGTAAATGATTTCCATTTTAATTTTTCAATTTCATTCTTTGGTGAACTATTCCTTTAAAGGGGTCATATGATGCGATTTCAAGTTTTCCTTTCTCTTTGGAGTGTTACAAGCTGATTGTGCATAGATAAGATCCCTGAAGTTGCAAAGACTAAAGTCTCAAAACCAAAGAGATATTCTTTATCAAAGTTAAGACTCTGCCACACCACCCTAAAACGGCTCGTTCTAACACGCCCCCACATATCTACCTCACTATGTGGAAATATTTGCATAATGCCGCCCAAATGTGCATGCAAAGAAAGAAGGCGTGGTTTCAGTAACCGCAGTTAGTGTTGAAGCAGCCATGTCAGAGAGACGCTGTGTGTTTCTAGGCGAAAGCAAAAGCACTTTATTTGGCCTTCCGAAAGTAGATGCATTTAGGAATCTTTAAGATTACTTACAACAGAACAGCAATGCATTTTATGGACGACCGTTTCGTGAACCTAGGAGAAGAGGTAATTCTGACTTTGCTATGAATATCTGGCGCTTCTGAATCAGCTGCATGTCAACATATTCTGTTACACCAAATACACAAAATAATGATCTTTAAAAAAGCATCATATGACCTCTTTAAGAGCACTTGAAACTAGGCATGGGCCGATTACCGGTTTCAAGGAATACCGCGATTTGAAAATGTCACCGCTAATATTTTCCGTTATACCTTTCCTGCGGTATGCGCTGTTTTTCATGTCTCCTCAAAGACTGAAAGTGTAGGAATCCCTCAGGTTGAGTGTCTTATTGCAAGCAACTCGTCTCTGTTCTGGACTTGCACAAACTGCGTTGCAATGCAATCGTTTTCCAACATGCCATTTATGTGACAATATGAAGTCTGTAAACGCCCGTTAACACATTCCAGAGAAGCTGAAGATGGACGCACATAGAAAAATACTGTAGCAGGCAGATCACTCACTGTTCATGATGCACGAACTATTGGAAGAAAATCCTAAATATTGATAATCAGAACATTCTGTTTTTGCTTCAAATTGGGTTATTATTAAATCGAATTATGTATATGAAATTATATAACTAAATGATATGAAATGATATAAATGATATGTATATGTGTGTATATTATATAACTAAAATGTATATTATATAAATAAAATTAAATAACTGTAATTACAGATTTAGGTTAAATAAAGATTTCAGTCTTTATTTTTCTTCTTTTTAGGAAACAAATCAAAGAAAAAATAAATTCTACTGTTGCTATTATTCTGTGTGTTGCTCAAAAACAAAATATATTGTGTTCAGCGGAAAAAGTAATTTTTTTTACCCAGTCATTTAAAAATAACATATTTTAGAGCTGTAACGACAATACCGTGATACCGTGAAACCGTGATATTTTTGCTTAAGGTTATCATACCGTCAAAATCTCATACCGGCCCATACCTACTTGAAACATTCAAAATTAAAAAGTGACTACACAGTGAGATCATAACATCTCATAAATCAAAGTACAACAATTCTCCAGAAGTAAGCACCTACACAGGCATCTTACAACATTGTTGTTATTAGCTATGTTTTCATTCACATATTTTTGTGCATTTTGGGATATCACATAAAAAAAAAAAACGCTGGATGGAAACGCCAAGATGCACATAAATTCTAAAAATGTGCATAAAAAACTTATGCGCTCAACTAAGTAGGATACATTTCTTATTCAAGATGGAAACACTTTTACCGAATAAATTCCTTAATGCGCATCAAAAAAGACGTGATTTTGCGATAGGACAGCATCAAACTGGACTAATCAACAGAACGATCTCATTGCACAGCATCTGAAATGCTAGTTTTGTCGTTCTAAAATGCTTGAGCAAAGTCTCGTCAAAGTGCTTCGTTATAATTAACACCCAGAACTGCATTCCCAAACAGCAGGCTCTGAAAATAAGATAACATGACTCTGCGTGCTCTGAAGCTCGTAATTTATTGTATACAAACATTATTATATACAGTGCCTTCTCGCACTGTAGCAAATTCATTTTTTCTTTGTGATATTTAGTGCAAGTTAATCAGGAAGTGACGTGTTTTATGCGATATTCCAATTTTGCGCATAAGTTTAATTTGAAACTTTGGATGGAAACATAGCTATTGTTAACTAAAAAAAGCGTTTAAGTTTTAAAATTAAAAATTTTAAATAACGTTTATTACTTTCGTTTTCAACAAGAAATAAAATTAAATATAAATGATGAAAAACTTAAACCTACAAAAATGAAGATTAAAAATGTTGCTTGGCTACCTAAAGTTAAATGTACTTACTGAAATATATAAATACAGAATAATATTGAAATATATCAAAAATATAATATTAAATAAGACAAGCACATAACAAATTTACTAAAACCTAAATTAAATTTAAAATAAAACCTGAAAATTGGAACCTAAAAATGAGATCTAATTCAAAATGTTAATAAATACACGAGTGTGGCCGCTGGTGCGAGTGCTAATGAGCTTCATGAAGGAGCTCCAGAAGGAAAGCGAGGTCAAGGCCTGGGAGAAAACAGCTGCCACTTGTTTTGTTTATTATAAGTTTGTAATTAAAGTTTATGTTTATGTTGAGCCTCCTTCTTCCCGTATCTATGAACCATCCTACAAGTACATAAACAATACTACAATAACACAGTTTAAAAAACACGATATCCTGATGAGGCTCAATACAAGTTTCAGAAGTAAACTTGGGCTGCTTACCCCTCTCTGGGGTCCAGCGCGATGGCCCGCGGATGCTCCACATCTCCAGCTAGTAGAGTGGTGCGCATGGTCCCGTCCAGTTTGGCCACTTCGATCTGATCTAGGTTACTCTCCACCCAGTAGATGTTTCCAGCGATCCAGTCTACAGCCAGACCCTCAGGAGTAGCTAATCCATACTGGATCACCACGTCAAAACTTGTCAGCGCTGCTGTGTAAAATAAAAATGAAGGAAAGAGAGGCAAACAGAAGACATATGTATGGGAAAAAATTTGTACCTAACTATTAGTAAATTGAAAAGGTCCATATTATAATTATATATGTGTTCATTGGCTGAATTCATCTTGGAGGGATTAAAAGTCCTGAGATTCATACATTTTAAAACACCAGAATTCCTATATATACTGTACACATAACTTACCACCATTCTCTGACAGCTTTCCACGGTAAATTTTGTCCTCAACAACATCAGTCCAATAGAGCGAGCTCTCGTTGAGGTGGAAGTCGAGTGCGATGGTGTTCCTCAGGCCTGGCACCAACACGCTGAACTCTCCTTTGTGCAGATCAATCCGTCGGATCTCATGACGGTTGGAGAAGATGATGAAGGGTTTAAATGGATCTGGAAAAACAATGAACTCACTGAAAGAATGCCATAACTCATGACTGGCTAAAGTAAGGTGCTCAACTGGGCAAACACTCTGATATTTTCCAACATCATCGGTTCCACAACATTTCTGTAAAATGATGTGAGACTGGCAATCCCATACATGCCTGTGACGTTACCTCTGTTTATCTAAAATGTTTTTATTTCTGAAAGGAATGTGAAATACGTCCAGCAATCCATAATTCATCGTTTGATTGGCTGAGTGGGCTGCTGTGCCTCTTCCTGTCACAGTAAATCTTCAACCCCACCTCCTTCTTCTGGCATTTGCATTCTTTCATTACAAAAATAAACCACCTATTATGCTGCTAAACAGTTCTCCGTCATTTTCTGCATTTGTTCTGTCACACACCAACTCTTAAACTAAAACCTTCTTAGTAGGAAAACAAAATCAACCCCAGCTGCAATGATTTTACAGAAGACCACTTCCTATGTGCGGGTGAAAGTGTTGCTCCAGTGCACATAGCTGTTATCTTCTGCCAAACATTGTGAACCACAACCGTTTTCATATCTTGTCTAGTTTTTCACCAGCCTTTACCGATTCTTTTTATCTGTTTGTGGATATATTTTGGGATATACTGTCAAACAATTATCAATCCAAGTCAATTTCAAAATCTTTGTTTTTCCATTTTATGTATGTATGCATGTATGCATTTATTTATTTATTTTCCAGCATCAGTGCTTATGGCAGAAAAAAAGGGGAAAAAAGCATTTCGAAAGGCCAAAACAAAACAATGCAAAAAACAAAACCATAAATTTGGATTTCACAGATTTAACATAAACTAGTAACATACTAACAAACAAACTAATAAACCTGTAAGACGTATAAGACTAAATGTAAGACTGACAAATATGCATCACATTTATTTGTTTATTATCACATTATAAGTTTATTAGTTTATGCATATATGCAGTTAAAAAAAAATAAGCCTGCATGTCTTTTAGTAGGCTTTGGAAGAGCTGATCTCACCTGTGCTCCTGCAGCTTTCCATGTCAGGTTCGAGGGCCCAGCCATCATAGCAGGAACATTTCACATTGAACTTGTCCTGTTCACAACGCTGGCTGCACTTCAGGTGTTTGGCACAGAAGCCCTGGATCTGACATGTTTTGTTGTCAGTGCCCAGTTCCATTCCCAGTGGGCACGAGCACAGAATGCCCTCACCCGGGGCCACTGTGCAGTTATGACTGCAGCCACCATTGTCCAGAGAACACAGATCTAAACCAAGAAACAATGCAGTTAGATGGTAAAAACCTAGGCTGAAAGTATTTAAAACCCTTCCCATTAACATTATAATGCTCCACCCCCCCCCCCCCCTTT